CTCTTTTATACTTTCGAATTACATAGAAGACTTACTACAAAGTATACTACTGAAGTCTAGCTCTATATTTTGTTATTACCCTATTACTTTATTACCTTATAAGTATCGACCCTTATTATCAGTTGTATTGATTAGCTATCGATATTACTGATTTATTTAATTACGATTATATAACTTGATTTATTTACTTGATTGATTACTGGTAGATATAATTAAGTGCCCGATCTCGGATTAATTATGTAAACCCACGTGCTTAAGTTATTATTATAATTGACTTTATTTATTATTATATTACTTTGAGTTCTCACAAAGAATATATAAAGTTAACTATTGGAGTTAAATTGTGCTGATAGTTCTATAAGCTCTTACAAAACAATAGTAACAGTAAGTGCTTTTTTTGTATAGTTTAAAATTTTTTTTTCTTTAAATGAAACTAACACTTTTTGCGCATGTCTTACTTCACTGAGTCTTCTTCGGGCTTTACTTAATGGATCTAGCTTCGTCGGGTTTGGCTTCATTGGGACTTCCTTCTTTTTTTCTCTGTTGGATTCAGAATCTGGGATTAGGAATGTAGTAGGTGTTTTTTTGTATAGTTTAAATTTTTTTCTTTAAACAAAACTAACACTTTTTGTGCGTGTTTTACTTCACTGGGTCTTCTTTGGGCTTTACTTTATTGGATCTTGCTTTGTCAGGTTTGGCTTCATTGGGACTTCCTTCTTCTTTTCTCTGTTGGATTCAGAATCTGGAATTTGGAATGTAGTAGGTGCTTTTTTTGTATAGTTTAATTTTTTTTTCTTTAAACGAAACTAACACTTCTTGCATGTGTCTTACTTCACTGGGTCTTCTTTGGGCTTTACTTAATTGGATCTTGCTTCATCGAGTTTGGCTTTATTGGGATTTCCTTCTTCTTTTCTCTGTTGGATTCAGAATCTGGGATTGGAAATGTGGTAGGTGTTTTTTTGTATAGTTTAATTTTTTTTTATTTAAATGAAACTAACACTTCTTGCGCATGTTTTACTTCACTGGGTTTTCTTCGGGCTTTACTTTATTGGATCTTGCTTTGTCGGGTTTGGCTACGTTGGACTTCCTTCTTCTTTTCTCTGTTGAATTCAAAATCTGGGATTGGAAATATGATAGGTGTTTTTTCATATAGTTTAATTTTTTTTTTCTTTAAACAAAACTAACACTTCTTGCGCGTGTCTTACTTCACTGGGTCTTCTTTGGGCTTTACTTTATTAGATCTTGCTTCATCAAGTTTGGCTTCGTTGGGTCTTGCTTGTCAGGTTTGGCTTTCTTGGGTCTTGCTTTATCGGTTCTTACTTTATTGGTCTTTGTTGGGTCTTGCTTCATCGGGTCTTACTTTATTGGTTTTGCTTCATCAGATCTTTTTTCGTTAGATCTTACTTTGTTGGGCCTTGCTTTGTTGGTCTAATTTTATCAGGTTTTGCTTTGTTAGTTCTTACTTCGTTGGGTCTTACTTTGTTCATTAGGTCTTGTTTTATCAGGTCTTGTGCTATTGGATCTTACTTTGTTGTGCTATATTTTGTTGGGTCTTGTATTTTGTAGTCTTGTGTTTTGTAGGGTCTTGCATTTCATTGGGTTTTTTGTTGATTAAAGTAGGGTTAAAAGTATGTTACAGAATTTAAAAATAGAATATAATTAAGTCTAGAGTTAGATTAGTATTAAACTAAATTGTATAGATTATGATTAGGGCCAGTTAATTGTTTATTATTTAAATAAATAAATAAATATTTTAAAAATTCTTTAGACATAATTAAAAATATCATTATTCGAATTCATCAAATTTGATTGAGTGGTTGCCAGGATATTTTCAATCAAAAGTTGTGTTAAAAATTTTGGCAGTTTTATATTATAGATATTTTAAAAGTTCTCAAACTTTGATCGAAGATATCTTGGCAACCACCTGATTAATTCAATAAATTTTTTTTTTATTCAAATTCTACAGATCTGTAGAATCTGAATAAAAAATTTGGTCGAGTGGTTGCTGTGATATCTTTGATCAAAGTTAAAATTTTGGTGCAATTTCCATCTAATATGCATTTTAAAAATTTAAAAAATTTAATCGAAGATATCTCAGTACCTACTTGACCAAATTCTATGAAATTTTTTATTCAAATTCTACAGATCTGTAGAATTCGAATAAAAAAATTTTTATTGAATTTGGTTGAGTGAGTGCTGAAATATCTTCGATCAAAGTTGTATTAAAAATTTTGGCGCAATTACCATATAATAGGCAATTTAAAAAATTCTAAAACTTTGATCGAAAATATCTCGGCATCTACTTGACCAAATTTGATAAAATTTTTTTTTATTGAATTCTACAGATTAGTAGAATGTGAATAAAAAAAAATTTATCAAATTTGCTTAAAGAATAGTCAAGATATCATTATTCAAAATTCAAAAAAAATTTATGAATCAAATTTTGAGATCGTCAATTTAGTCCAATCAGAAATCCGATTTACTGATGGCCAATAGAAACTTGGGGGAAATTAATAAATGCAAAATCAATCACATGCATGTTTATGCATATTCTAAGTATTAAATACAGTTATAAATATGTACATTCGTATGTACATATATATACAATTCTTAAATGTTTGCTAGGTTTATAACACAGTCAAAATTCTTTAAAGTTTCTTTAGGTTATAGAAGTTATGAGGGTATATAGTAAAATTACTCAAGAAAAACCTTTTGCTTATACGCGAAGAGTAGTTTTATATACAATATTTTAAGAAATAAGCAATTTTTAACAAAATGGCTATTTATTTTGAATTTTCATGTTCATGTTATATTGTACCTGATCTTGAAATCTAATTCATAATTCAGGCAATCTGCAATACAAACCTGGCATATGTTCAAGAATTTTCATACTATGTAATGATAATTATTTATTGGCTGTAATTTATCTTATGTAATACTATCATTTTTCGTATGTATTGATCTTTCTAATCATTTAACTTACTTATTTTTGCTTATTTTTTTTACTTTTGCTCACTATATATATATATATATATTTTACTTTTGTTTGCTTTTTTCTTTCACTTAATTAGAACATGATTGAATAATATATACAAAAATGCCTAGTACGCATATAGAACATGCTTGATTAAATAATTTTATTCATTTTGTAATGAATATAATGAAGCAAAAGACTTGCAAGAGAAGATT